TTGCCTGAGGTCAGGAGTTTGAGACCAGCCTGGCCAACATGGTGAAACTCTGTCCCTAGCAAAAATACAAAAATTAGCCATACATGCATGGTGGTGGGTGCCTGTAGTCCCAGCTACTCAGGAGGCTGAGGCAGAAGAATTGCTTGAACCCAGGAGGCGGGGTTGCAGTGAGCCGAGATGGCGCCACTGCACTCCAGCCTCCTGGGCGACAGCGTGAGATTCCATCTAAAAAAAAAAAAAAAAAAAAGAAGTGAGTAAGTCTGGGCTCAGTGGCTCGTGCCTGTAATCTCAGCACTTTGGGAGGCTGAGACAGGAGGATCGCTTGAGCCCAGGAGTTCAAGACCAGTCTGGACAACATAGCAAGACTGTCTCTACTTTAATTTTTTTTTTTTTTTAATAAAGAAATGAGTTAAAAAGAGAGAGAGAAATGGGCAGAGGGCAGATTTGGAAGAAGGGGCTTCTTGGCCGGGCGCGGTGGCTCAAGCCTGTAATCCCAGCACTTTGGGAGGCCGAGACGGGTGGATCACGAGGGTCAGGGATCGAAGACTATCCTGGCTAACACGGTTGAACACCCCGTCTCTACTAAAAACAAAAAAAAAAACACAAGCACAAAAAAAAATTAGCGGGCGACCCAGGTGCGCGGGCGCCCTGTGAGTCCCAGCTACTCGGGAGGCTGAGGCAGTGAGAATGGCGTGAAACCTGGGAGGCGGAGCTGCAGTGAGCCGAGATGGCCACTGCACTCAGGCCGGGCGACAGAGCAGGACTCCGTCTCAAAAAAAAAAAAAAAAAAAAGAAGGGGCTTCCTGGGCAGAAGGCTTGGCATCTGGGCACAGATAATAAAGTATCAGGGGCCAGGCCAGGAGCTACCCTGAGTCCAGGGGTCATCTCCTGCAGCCCATGGTCCCCAGAAACCTCTGACACCTCAGTCCCATCCTGGCTCAAGGGCAGAGGCAGAGACAACATCTGTTTCTGACCACACCCAGAGGCTACTGGAGAGATCGAGAAGGAAGGTACCTGGGGAGGTAAACTGAGGCAGCCTATCTCCCTGATGGAGACAGGCTTCCCACCTATAGGTGGGAGCCGTGGAGAAGGGAAAAGATGGATCAGGAAAGACAGAGACAGAGGAGGGGAGGTGGGAAGAGGGGCAGAGGCTCTGGAGAGGCTGCCTGACCACATCCATTGTATGGACCAGAAAACTGAGGCTCACAAGATGAATCACTTACTTCCAGCTGAACCGCAGCCAGAATAAACTCTGAACATCTCACCAGTCAGGCCCTGACTCTCCAGCTCCAGGACCCCACAACCTAAGAAGAAAACCCTAGCCCACGGGTGCAGTGGCTCATGCCTGTAATCCCAGCACGTTGAGAGGCCAAGACAGGAGGATCACTTGAGCCTAGGAGTAAGAGACCAGCCTGGGAAATACGGTGAAACTCTATCTCTACAAATAATCAAATAAACTAAGCTGAGTGTGGTGGCACATGCCTGTGGTTCTAGCTACACAGGAGGCTAAGGAAGGAGAAACAGCTGATCCCAAGAGGTCGAGGCAGCAGTGCGCTGTGGTCACGCCACTGCACTCCAGCCTGGGTGAGAGAACCAGACCCCATCTCAAAAGAAAAAAAACAACTCTGGCCCAAACGCTCCCAGCCTCACGTGGGCTACAACCTCTTCCCCCATCCCCCATCCATTCCCCACTAGCCACCTCAGGGCCTTTGCATTCCCTCTTCTGGTCCCTCTTTACCACCTTAGTCCAGCATTGCCTCCTCCAGGAAGCCTTCCCTCACTCCCTACTCCTTACATCCCCACTCATCACTCTTACGGTTTCTCATAACTCTCTGTGTGATCATTAGATTAGTGTCCGCCTTCCCACCCAGCTAAGAGTCCCTCATGATCAAGAAGATCCTGACTTGTGCAAGATGGGGCCTGTTATACAGTAGGCACTCAATGCTGACTTTTTTTTTTTTTTTGACGAACAGGGTCTCACTTTGTCCGCACAGGCCTGGAGTCCGTGGCGGTGATCTCACGTCACTCAAACCTTGACCTCCCCAGGCTCAGGTTGAGCTTCTCCCACCTCAGCGCGCTCTCGCAAAGAGTAGTCTGTAGACTACAGGCGTGCACACACCAACCTGGCGTAAATTTTTGTATTTTCAGTAGGACGGGTAGGTTTCACCAGGTTAGGCCAGGCTGGCCTCGAACTCCTGAGCTAAGCGCAGCCCGCACTTGGCCTCCCAAGGAGTGCTGGGATTACAGGTGTGAGCACACGCGCCCGACCATGATTCCTAAAATGAAATGAATTGAAACTGAGCTGCTGAAATGGGGGGCTAAATCGTCCTGACCCGGGACGCTGCCTGGGGAGAAGCTGAGGCTATGGCCCAGGAGGCCCTGGCGAGGTAATAGTTGTATGGAACACTTGCTCAATATTCTACAGGCAGGGCCCTGCTATAGCAACTTGCTGAACCACATTAGAAGAAGGACTCCAACCCCTTCCTGATTTTATAGATGGGCAGCAGAGAGGCCAGAAAGACCTCCTGTTGGTCATTTTATCTAGGGGCAGAAGAAGGCTCAAAGTGGGCTTCATCAAGCCAGGAATGGAGGCCCGCGGTGCAGTTGGTTCATGCCTGTAATCCAAGGACCCAGACTTCTGGGAGGACAAGGCAGGTGGTCACTTTGAACTCATGCAGTCGAGACCAGCCATGCGGCAACATTGCAACAACCCATCTCCCACAAAACAATACCAAAAAAAATATAGCTGGCGGGTGGGCTTCGAGCCTGAGGTTGAGGCTGCGAGGATCACTCGATCCAGGAGGGTGGAGGGTGTGCAGTGAAGCCAGATGAGCGCGTACTGCCACTCCAATGCCTGGGCAAACCAGAGTGAGACCCTGTCTCAAATAATAAATAATATAATAAAGAAATAAAAATAAAAGTATTTATTTATTATTTATTTATGTTTGAGCCACGCAGTACATTGCTCTGTCACCCAGGCTGGAGTGCAGTGGCACACATCCCTCGGCTCATTGCACCCACCACTCCCTCCAGGTCTCAAGCGATTCTCCCCTTCAGCCTCCAATGGCTGGGTCTATATGGCACTTGTCACCCATTGCCTCGTAAAATTTTTGTATCTTCAAGTAGAGACCAGGGTTTCGCCATGTTGGCCAGGCTGTCTCAACTCCTGACCTCAGGCTGAATCCACCCTGCCTCCGCTCCACAAAGCTGCTGGGTTAAGGTATGAGCCACTTGACGCGCAGTCCTAATTATTTATTTATTTTATATTTATTATTTTTTGCATTAGCGGAGTCTCGCTCTGTCACCTAGGGCTGGAGGCAGTGGCGCGCCAATCTCGGCGTCCTGCCAAAGCCTCGCCTCCGAGCGTTCACGTCATTTCCTGCGCTCAGCCTCAACCAAGTAGCTTGGTAACTACAGGCGCCCACCACCACACCCGGCTAATATTTGAATTTTTAGTAGAGACAGGGTTTCACCATGTTAGCCAGGATGGTCTCAATCTGCTGACCTCGTGATCTGCCTGCCTCGGCCTCCCAAAGTACTGGGATTACAGGCATGAGCCACCGTGCCCGGTAAATATTTTTTTTAAAAGAGGAAACAGATGGAAAATATTGGGTTTCAGGTAAGGCTGGATCCAGGAACCAATGCTTCATCTCAGTGCTGCTGTCCTCCCTGCAGACTCCTCTCTCAGGCAGGCATCCCCACGGTGGCAAGGAAAGAGGCTCCAAGCTCCAGGCTTCCCTCTGTCCAGCTCAGCCTCCCACCAGCGGAAGCAGGGTGAGCATTTTCCCCATGCACTCTGGCAAAAGTCCCAGCTGCTACACAATAAACATTGCCTGTCTCCTACTTCTCGCATCCAAGAGACTGTGCATAGGGGTGGGTTTGCGGCCAACTCCAGGGGCCTCCAGGGCTCACACCTGCAATCCCAGCACTTTGGGAGGCCAAGGCGGGTGGATCTTGAGGTCTGCAGTTCGAGACGAGCCTGGCCAACATGGTGAAACCCCATTTCTACTAAAAACACAAAAAAATTTTAGCTGGTCATGGTGGCGGGCACCTGTAATCCCAGCTACTTGGGAGGCTGAGGCAGGAGAATCACTTGAACCCGGGAGGCAGAGGTTGCAGTGAACCAAGATTGTGCCATTGCACTCCAGCTTGTACAACAAGAGCGAAACTCCGTCTCAAAAAGAAAAAAAAAAAAGGAAGATAAACGCTCAAGGGAGAGCAAGCCTGGTGGAGGGAACGGCTTGAGCAGAAGCTGGGATGTGGCAGATCCGGAGCGGGGCGGGGGGCATCTGCAAAGCTCTGAGCAACCACTTTGTGGCTAGGGCACGGGAGCCCAGGCCTCTGTTTCCCCATCTGGATGCATCCATGGGGAAACGGAAGTCCCCCCACCAAAGGGTCGGGGCCTGGGACTCTTGCCTCCTGGCCCTACTGGCTGCAAGAGGTCTCTCCCCGAGAGGTCTCATCCTTTTTTTGCCACAAAATTCAGTAGTTCTGGGCTTTAATCCCCCTCCTCTGAAACCGGAAAAGTCTGTTTAGCAAACAGCGTAGGAGGAGGCAGGGCGGGTCCGGCCGGGGAAACGCGCGCCGCTGTTGCCACCTGGTGGCCATGGGGGGAATCTGAGACTACCTGCTAATTGCCGGGACTGGGGTGGGATTTCAGGAGCCCCCCAACACCTCGGCTCAGACCGCAGTGGAGATCAGGGGGAGGCGGCTGCAGAGCGTGGGCAGAAAGAGGGAGGATTCAGGGTGTGTAAGGGGGGCAAGGGTCCTGCTGTGAGTTGCTGGGCGTGAAGAGGAAGGAGCGTAGGGGCAAACCACGGTTCCTGTTACGGGAGCGCCCGGCTGCTCCACTCCCCCTAGGCCGTCCCTTCCTCTGCTCAGTCCCAGCTTAGCAGGGTTCCCAGCTCTCATCCGGCTCTGTCTCCCCCAGATTAGGTGCTCCTGGAGGAGACCCAGAGGAAGAGATTAATAAATATATGTGGAATGAATGAATGAATGAATGAACTCAAAGGCTCGTGTTTTGAGATTTTGAGGACATTCAAGCTTCAAACGGGAAAAATACCCAATAGGAGGCTCATTTACGATGATTTTGAACAGCTGTGTAAGGTCATTGTCATCACCCCCATTTTATAGGGGAATGGGGATGGGATGGGAGGACCATCATTTTTTCCACAATGTTTACAGTCCCCTTCCCCCATATGCCTGGATCCTCCGAGCTACAAGACCCCACAATGCTGCAGGGAGCCCTTGAGTCCAGACCCCCCATCCAGTGCTCCTGGGGGTGGATGCCCAGCCCAGGGTCCGGGGATCCATCTGAGCCCCCTTTGCCCCCATTCCCAGTCTATTCTACTCCAGAACAGGTCAATGGCAGGGTCTGCTCCTGCTCCACGGATGCCAGGCCCAGCAGGGTGCAGCAGCTTCCATTTCATGGCAGCATCTAGGGTTCCCCCACAGGATGCGTGGCAACAGGTGCCGGGCAGACAGGAGGCAGGTGCACTAGAGCCTGGAGGAGCTCTGGGTTATTTGGGTCCAAATTTGACTCGTGTGTGTGCTGCGTAGCCTCAGGCGAGTCACTCACCCTCTCTGAGCCTCAGTGATCACATCTGTAAAATACAACAGTTATAGTTCCTTTCAGGGTGTGGTTGTGGGAATTTGGTAGGGAATCATGTGAGTGGATGGAAAGGGCTGGGTATGCCATAAGTGCTTAATAACCAGCCGTTGTGATTGAGATAGTCGCTCTTCCTGTCTGTAAGACAAAGTGGATGTTCCCGTTTCTCCTTCAAGCCTCCAGGCCCTGATCTCCCAGGAGCGATGGACATCTAGCCCCTCATCCCCCAGGCAGGGTTGCACCCCTGACCGTCTGGCCCACTGGGCCTCAGGACCTTGGCCTTGCACCTGTCTCCATCCTCCAAGGACAGCTGTGTATCCAGGGCCAGCTCAGGGGCACCCTCAGGTAGCTCTGCCTTCTCAAGAAGCTCAGTCCTCTCGCCTTTGTCCCAGGACATCTCCACCACCAGGGCCTCCTGCAGGGATGCCTCTTCCTGGAAGTCCACTGGGTTGATCCACTGCCAAGTCTGCAGAGGGAGGGTAGGGCAGAGTTCTACTTCCTATCCACAGCAGGATGGAACGGACCGGGTCTCTGCTGGCTAAATTCTCTAAAATCCTGAGACCTGGATAGGCGCACTGGCTCACACCTGTCATCCTCGCACTTTGGGAGGTTGAGGCGGGTGGATCACTTGAGGTCAGCAGTTTGAGACCAGCCTGGCAAACATGGCCAAACCCCATCGCTACTAAAAATACAAAAATTAGCTGAGCTTGGTTGTGCACGCCTGTAATCCCAGCTACTTGGGAGGCTGAGGCAGGAGAATCATTTGAACCCAGGAGGCAGAGGTTGCAGTGAGCCGAGATGGTGCCACTGCACTCCAGGCTGGGTGACATTGCAAGACTCCATAAAAAAAGAAATATATGGCCGGGCGCGGTGGCTCAAGCCTGTAATCCCAGCACTTTGGGAGGCCAAGGCGGGTGGATCACTTGAGGTCAGCAGTTTGAGACCAGCCTGGCAAACATGGCCAAACCCCATCGCTACTAAAAATACAAAAATTAGCTGAGCTTGGTTGTGCACGCCTGTAATCCCAGCTACTTGGGAGGCTGAGGCAGGAGAATCATTTGAACCCAGGAGGCAGAGGTTGCAGTGAGCCGAGATCGTGCCACTGCACTCCAGCCTGGGTGACAGAGCAAGACTCCGTCTCAAAAAGAAATAAATAAAAAAAATAAAAAAAAAAAAAAAAAATATATATATATATCCTGAGACCAATTTGAGGATGAACTCTGCCTCACTGACCCCCATTCAGCCCCTCTTAGGAAGAGCACTTCCCTCTCTCTTTGGGAAATTTCCCTCCCCTCTTTTCACAGATGGTCTGGCTGACAGTGCAGTGGCCCCACCTCAGCTCTAGCACTGGTCATGTGACCCTGGCCAGCCCACCCATCAGACCCTTCCCTAACCCTCTGGTTCCAGCCATAGGCTCAGGGAAGAGCCTGTGAACCAAGCTGGACCAATCAGTGATGGCCCTGAGACTGTTGCCCTAGGTAATGGGGAGAATGGACACTCTACTTCCAATCAGAGAAGGCTCAGCATGCCTGGGGGAGAACCCTGAATGGGCAGCTCCGAGATAGACCCCAGTCGCTGGATTCAGCCATATCTAGAAGCCCACTCCCTTAGGATTTTTCCATCAGGTGCCCTTTATAATAAAGCCACTTTGAGTTCTGTTTCTAGTGCCAGGAAATGTACCTCTGCTTGCCTGTCTTTAAAATGGGAAGGGGTTTGGAGCACTGGTTTTGGAGTCCTTACCTTGATGGATTGGGGGAGAATAAAACGAGCTAATGCGTGACCCTTGTCCAGCGTGTGTACCCAATAAAAAGACTTAGGATTAGAAGAGGAGTCCTTACCTCCTTCCCTGCTGGGAACTGAATGGCGGAGCTGGCACAGGGTGTGGGCAGCGGCGGGCATAGGTGCCGTGTGGCCCTGAAGAGGAAAGGGGGACGGTGAGAGGAGCTGAGCATTTTTTTTTTTTTTTTTGGAGATGGAGTCTCACTCTGTTGCCCAGGCTGGAGTGCAATGGCATGATCTCGGCTCACTGCAACCTCTGCCTGAAGATAATCAACTGCATCACCGTTGAACAGT